AAACAACAACGACGACAATCGCAATTTTATTCTTTCTCAGTCCGGCCAATTTAGGCATGATTTCAGAGAACTCTCTAAGCTATTGTGTGTCTGGCTTCCTGCAATAGGAAGGTGGAAAGAATAACCATTTAGGACCTCATGACTAGTGAGAAATCGCTGGCAGTTAATGAATCAATGCGAAGGATTTTTCAGATACTGTTTTCATTACAAATGCCGTAGTTTCAAGTGGTCAAAGCAGAAGGCCCAGGGGTTGGTAGAGGAGGCATTTCAGCATCTCAGGGTAAGGAAGCCAACTCTAATTGTTCCTCTGCAGTGCCAGGGGTGGGAATGAGGGTGATCCCTGGGAGGCAGCTCCTGCCCTGCAAAGATACCTCCAATTTCTGACCTGACCAGGGGTCTCCATGTAGCCTGAGCAGCTGTGGACACTCGCAGGGACCAGAGCCCTCTGCTGCAATGAATTTGTTTCCAGTGATTGATTCCTATCCACCTGGAAGCACTCAGAGGGTAACTGTTGGGTTTTTTGTTTTGTTTCATTTTGCTTTTTTGGGTAACATCCAGCAATGCTCAGGGGTGAATCCTGGTTCTGTACTCAGGAGTTACTCCTAGCAGTATTTGGGGAACCATATGGGATGCCAGGAACTGAACCTGGGTTGTCCGCATACAAAGCAAATGCTCTACCCACTGTACTATCACTCCAGCCCCGGTAACTGTGTTTTAAAAAGTCATTTACCCTTATCCTCTCTTTTGGATTAAATCCCTCCAAAATTATTTTTATCTTTAAAACAGTTTTTGTTAGGTCCAGAGAAACAGCACCAGGTTGGGCCATTTCCTGCTTTTATTATTCTGCATTATTTCAATGCTTGGGATGGCACAGCTTTCCCGAAACAGTGGTGTCTGAGTGTGTCTTGTCATCCCTTTGGCAGCACTAGTCACAGAGCAGGAGCTGGGAGGACTGGGAATATGGCAGAGCCAGTCTGTTTTTCCCCTCCCTGTTGATCCCAGGGGAGCAAATACCTTCCTCTCCACCCTTTGCAAGCCACTCACTCCCCACTTCTCATCTGTCGCTCCTTTGGGCCTTCAGAACAGCGTTTCTCAACCATTTCCCATCCAGGGCCACCCTCCCAACCTTGCTTCCTTCCTGTGTTCTCCCCTGCCCTAGAGGCTGTCCCCATAGTCTTAAACTGTGGGACCCCATTTATGCTATGTTCACCTGTGGTCCCTTAGATCCTCTGGGACCCTCTGTAACTTACTCATTGTGTCACTTGATTCTCGTTGCAACAGTAAGGTGGTAAGATATCAGAGGGGGAAACTGAGGTTCAGAAACCTTAAGTCATTTTCCAAAAGTTCACCCTGCCAAAGCAGTGTTCTCTTTAGGTTTCTGAGATGGACAAAAGTTCGAGCATTGCCCGGGCGAGTTGTACGGTTTTTAATAGGGACTTAAGCCAATGTTATCATTTCCAGGGGTTCTCCTCTGTCTTTTTTTTGTGGTATAAGAATCTGTCTTTTTAAGTTCAGCAGACTTTATTTCTAATTTAACTGCTTATCTCCTGATGCTGGAGTCATCTGACTTTCTGATCTGTGTCTAAGTGTGGACCTGCGGTATCTGCAATCATACAAACAGATGAGAAAAGCCACGGGATGCCAAGGCAATATTGCAAAGCTAAAGAAGCAGAAAGAGTTTAAGGCCACAATTTACAAAGCCAAATTGGGAAGGAGAGGTACAGAGACTTCATTTCCCTCAAAAATCTGACCCGAATTGATTTAACCACTGAACGCCCCCCTCAAAAAAAATGTCATCCACTCAGGTATTTCCCGGTGAAAAAGAAGAGGTTTGCACAAATCTCAGGCAGTCAAGGACTTTCAGACATTTAAGAAGAATATTTGGGAGCTAAAAGTTAAACAGTGGATACATTTGGAATTTGTGCAGGTTTCCTAGTTAATGAAAGGGACTTGTGGACTGCTCTAGCCTTGATCTTCCAAGAAAGTCTTAAGTTTGGGGGTGAGGGGCAGTGTGGCAGGGAACAGGAGGAATTTAACTTGCAGTATGACAAAGTCAACTGTCAGTAACTTTATTATAAATGCATACCTGTGGAGGCTTCAGTCTCATAAATATTGTTGTCTGAAAGGAATTCATAAGATACCTCGATAAAATTTACCTAACACCCATTGTTGGTAGGGCATCTAGTCTGCATTAGATCCCAGTGAAATTACCAATCCAGGGGCCAGAGAAAGAATGTGAGTTTAGGCTCTCGCTTTGTGTGTGCCGACCCCGGTTAGAAATCTTCCCCTACCCCCACTGTACTGGGTGTGGCCCCCAAATATGCACACGCACGCAAGTCACAAAACCAGTGACAGAAATACAGCTCCATTTTTTTCCCCCACAGGTGTATCTCTGTGTTATTAGATGCAGTAAAGATGAGTACAGATACTCGAGAGGGAACAGGAACGTGGGATGTGGCTTGGGATTGTGAGTCAAAGCCTGCATTCAATACCATAAACCTACCCATACCCCCACGCACAGCACCACTGGGTATAATCCTCACAATAATAGGCCCCCTACCAAAAAAATCAATCTGTTCAATAGTTTTCCATATACAACCCAAACCGAAAGAAAATCAGTTGCTCTTTCAGATCGCAACAAGGAAATGCAAATTTAAGGAAGAAACTTTTATTGGTCTAGATACTAGGTATTAAAACTTTTATTGGTCTAGATACTAGGTATTAAAACATATTTGAATGCAAGACACCCCACTGTTTGGGGAGCACCACAGCATCATTTCCTGCTGGTCTTTTTGCTTCTTCATTCCTCTCTCTTAAAAGTTCATGAAGATAAACGTGGAAATAAGGGGAAAGTGCCACATTAGGAAATTACTCAAAGTCCTGCCACTGGACATGCTCTTCTCCCCGGGTTGAACTGCCCAGCCAACTCTCATTTCATTGCAGAATCTTTGTTTCTCATGAGATCGTTGCTGCTTCTATTAGTTCCCAACCCACTCGAAGTCACAGTTCCTTTACCACAGAACAGTCATCTCCACGGCAAACCAACAGAAGGGATGCAGGCAATTTAGAAAGAAAAGAGGGGGCTGGAGTGATTATACAGTGGGTAGGGTGTTTGCCTTTCATGCGGCCGAGCTGGGTTTGATCCCTGGCATCCCATAGGGTCCCCCAAGCACCGCCAGAAGTAATTCCTGAGTGCAGAGCCAGGAGTAACCCCTGAGCATCACTGGGTGTGACCCAAAAAAGAAAAAAAATTAGAAAAGAGACAATCCTCTCCATGCTAAGGTTTCTAAATTTTTGAGCCCTGGATTTCATTTATTCATTTTTTAATTTTATTGATTCACCGTGAGATATAGTTACAAGCTTTCGTGTTTGGGTTACAATCACACAATGATCAAACGCCCATCCCTCCACCAGTGCACATTCCCCACCACCAATATCCCCAGTATACCCCCACCTTTCCCACCCTCCCACTGTCTCCATGGCAGACAATATTCCCCATACTCTCTCTCTACTTGTGGGCATTATAGTACTGAAAGGTTATCATATTTGGTCCTTTATCTACTTTCAAGCCCTGGATTTTAGCAGGGGAAAAAAAAATATAATCCCCAAATCCTTGACCAGGCTGTATTTCAGGGCTCCAGCAGAAGTTGGCAGTTGCCTCTTGTGTGTTTGGGAAGGGCTCGAGATCTTTATTTCTCTTCTCTCTTAATTCTATGCCACTGATATCTGCCAGTAAAATACATTAAACACATTACAGAAAGAGTTGATTTAGTAGAAGAAAAATTGTCCCGGGAGACCAGAAAAGCTACATTTTCTGTCTTACTACCATTTCCATAATAGAAACAATGTTTACATTTCCTGAGCCCATGCAGTGCCTCTAATGTATTCCAGTTCCTCCACCCTCCAGAGGCTGGGATGGAGATATTTGAGATTTTATTTTTCAGCTACCACATCAAGCACTTAAGATCTGACAATGGTGATGCGTATTCTCCCTTGGTATTAAAAAATAAAAGCTCCAGTGTTTGCGTTTGATTAGAGTCTCTCAGCTTGGTGGCTGATTAAGCAGGAACTGCAAAAGCAACTCTCTCCAGAAACACAGCATCATGGTTAATGTAGTGTAATATTATTGACGGGTCTAGTCACATAATTTTTATTAAATTGAAGAGATTAGCTCTGCTGAAGAATCTCATCGTGACAGCAAGCCTGAGTTGTAATAACAAGATCTGACACTTCTCAAACCCACCACACAGCCCCAAATGGTCTTTTTGCACTCTCCCCCTTCTTTCCGTTCAAGGGCTGGGAGGGCTTCACTAGAAATATTTGGTGTATTTACCTGAAAATGAGTGTTTATGGTTTGGGTTTATTTTGTGGAGATTTTTTCGGGGTGTGGAGTGGAGTTAAGGGCTTGAGGGGTGAAGAAAAATCAGTATGAACACTTGTGATCTGTGACCCTCGGGTATTTTCTTTCACAGTGCCTTGCAGCCCTTCCTCCAATTGTCCAACATGTAAACAGAGCTTTTCTCCAGTTCGAGTCTATGGTGCGCAGAAAAGCCATCAGAAGGAACCCCCAGAGCCCTGTGCAATTTATGCCTTTTGACTTGCATAGAACCTTGCCCTTTCCCCCACACTCCCTGTGTCTTAGTTTTATGAGGGGGAACTGAGCCACAATGTGGCAGGATCTGTTTCCCGAATATGCCCTACTCCGCAGAAAGAAGTGAAGTAGGAGCAGGATAGACTTTGGAGAGGGAAAAGCAAGTCTCTTAAACACAAAAGACCGCAAGGACTGGAGCCTATTTGCATACTGAGGTGGGGGGTGGGAGCAGGCTGGGAGGATTAATTAGCTCCAGTTTTGGCAAGCTGCTCCTGGAAGACAAGTTGTGCAGAGGTGCTATTGTCACTTATTACTGTTATTAATTAGCAGGGTGAACGCCAAACACAAACGAGCCCCGAGGCCCCGCCTCCATCCACTCCCTAACCCCTCTTGTGGTCCTGTCTTGCAGGAGTGATTCGGGAAAGTTACCTCAAAGGCCACGACCAGCTCGTCCCGGTCACCCTCTTGGCCATCGCGGTCATTCTGGCCTTCGTCATGGGGGCCGTCTTCTCGGGCATCGTCGTCTACTGCGTCTGCGACCACCGGCGCAAGGACGGCTCGGCCGTGCCGCGCAAGGACAAGGAGCTGGCGCACTCCCGCCGCGGCTCCATGAGCAGCGTCACCAAGCTCAGCGGGCTCTTCGGCGACGCGCAGTCCAAGGACCCCAAGCCCGAGGCCATCCTCACGCCCCTCATGCACAACGGCAAGCTGGCCACGCCGGGCAGCACGGCCAAGATGCTCATCAAGGCCGACCAGCACCACCTGGACCTGGCGGCGCTGCCCACGCCCGAGTCCACGCCCACGCTGCAGCAGAAGCGCAAGCCCAGCCGCGGCAGCCGCGAGTGGGAGCGCAACCAGAACCTCATCAACGCCTGCACCAAGGACATGCCCCCCATGGGCTCGCCGGTGATCCCCACGGACCTGCCCCTGCGGGCCTCCCCCAGCCACATCCCCAGCGTGGTGGTGCTGCCCATCACGCAGCAGGGCTACCAGCACGAATACGTGGACCAGCCCAAGATGAGCGAGGTGGCCCAGATGGCGCTGGAGGACCAGGCCGCCACCCTGGAGTATAAAACCATCAAGGACCACCTCAGCAGCAAGAGTCCCAACCACGGGGTGAACCTGGTGGAGAACCTGGACAGCCTGCCCCCCAAGGTGCCCCAGAGGGAGGCCTCCCTGGGGCCCCCGGGCGCCCCCCTGTCCCAGAACGGCCTGGGCAAGCGACTGGAGATGCATCACTCTGCCTCCTACGGGCTGGACTATAAGAGGAGCTACCCCACGAACTCGCTCACGAGAAGCCACCACCAGGCCGCCACGCTCAAAAGAAACAATACTAACTCCTCCAATTCCTCCCACCTCTCCAGGAACCAGAGCTTTGGCCGGGGGGACAACCCGCCCCCCGCCCCGCAGAGGGTGGACTCCATCCAGGCGCACGGCTCGCAGCCGGCGGGCCAGGCCGTGACTGTCTCCAGGCAGCCCAGCCTCAACGCCTACAGCTCCCTGACACGCGCCGGGCTCAAGCGCACGGCCTCGCTAAAGCCCGACGTGCCCCCCAAGCCCTCTTTCGCTCCCCTTTCCACCTCCCTGAAGCCTAACGATGCGTGTACATAATCCCAGGGGGAGGGGCCAAGGGTTGAACCCGCAGGAAAGGCGAGAGAGACGCCGGCTCAGCTCAGCGAGGTCCTCCACGGCCTGCGTACCCGCCAGACCCAGACGGCCTGTGCCAGCGTCAGCGCCCTGGGCCTCCCCTCCGGGACCCCCGGCCCTCCGGAAAATCTCGCCACGGGGTGTGGAGGTTTGTGACCGACTCACCTCCGTTCACTACCTTCACGCTCCCCGACACCCTACACTACTAGGTCGGAATCACAAAAGACTTCAAAGGATCATCACAGACATGAGCCAAAAGCACACCCCCAACACACACACACACAAACACAGACACACACACAGACACACACACACTACATCACTCCCAGGGGTGAACAGCCACTCGAATATTTTCTCCATGACCACACAGGGCGCTGCCAAATCGGGCTCACCCTCCAAGCCGCAAAAACACTACATTTTTTTTTAAATCATGAAAATTAAAAAGACAAAAAAAAAAAGAATTCATTGATAACTCTAACTCAGATTTTAACAATGGCAGAAGTTTACTATGCGCAGATACTGTGAAATGCCCACCAGTGTTACAGCTTTCTGTCCTAGCAGATGAATGCCATGTTGGGCCATGATGTCGATGTCGTAGATTTCTGCTCCTCCTCCTTTTAATGAAATAACGTGACCGTTAACGCAAGTAACTCTTTATTTATTGTTCACCCTTGTTCTCCTTAAGGAAAGGACTCATCCACATGCCATCCTATGAACAGCTCTTCAGAAAACCCATTGAAAAAGTTAAAACTATTTAACGTGAAATCCATTAACTGGAATAATTGAGTTTCTTTATTTTTACAATAAATTCACTGAGTAAATAAGTTGGAGCTGGAATTCTGAACTTTGTTTGGACTGTCTGCTTGCTAGCTAAAGGAAAAAAAGTTAACAGGGGAATCTGTATTCAGATCTATCGGTTAATCATGTCTCTGGCCTATATAATCTACAAAAACAAAATTATTTTTAATTTTTAAAAAAAGTCCTTCCAGATCCTAACTTCTAGAACAACCAAGAGAGGAACGTTTGGGGTGGCACTTCCATGCCCTGTTGCCACCCACCAGGTTGTCGGTGGCTCCTACTTTCTGTGAAGGCGCCAGTATGTGCTGTGCCATCTCATTTCACCTTGCATGTGAGACAGCAAACATGAGCCACAAATCGCGTGAACTAATTTATATGCTGGCTGCTCCCTCGCATAAATTAAAGATTTGCCCACCCGGGTCTCCCGTGGGGTTCCATCTGTGAATAGCCTGTTTTCCACATGTAAATTTGTGCCTTACACCCTGAGTTGTGTACACTTGTAAACTGTTGTTATGCTCAAACCGCCCCCCTTTCTAAAATAAATGCAGATATTTATTTAACCCTCCCTCAGCTTCCCCAGCCCACGCCCTCTCCAACTCTCTGGAAGGCGAGTACTCGTCCAGCAGATGGAAGGAGGAGGCAGTAGGGATGGGTGTGAGCAGCCGCCTGGGAAAACTGGGCACTCAGCACTATCCCCTGGTCGTGCCAAGTAGAGCCACCCTTGGGCTGTGCTGCCAGCACAGACCCCAGTGTTGAGGGTGACAGACCCCCCTTTCTGCCTGTAGAACTCCGTTTCCCTCATACTTTCAATCATTTCAATGTGGTGGTAGCCTAGGAGCAGGAAAGGGACAAAGATTCCCATCCTTTGCTGCTGTGACCTCTTACTGGAGAGCATGCTGGGTGCAGGGGGTTGGGGGTAACCCTAGAGGAGGCCCCATGCCTTATGCTCAGCACACATACAAATACACCCAAGAGATGACCTGGAAACGGACATGGGTAGGCTAGTCCCATAGCCACAAACGTGAAATGCCCAGTACGAGGCCATCCACAATAGATGCTCCAAAAATGTTGAATGGGACAAAAGATTTTTTTTTTAATTTTTGAAAACTTTTCTCATCCTTTGGTAGTTCTTGTCTGTTGGGTGGAGTGGGACATGTGCTCATCTTCTCCTTGGTTTTCATTAGCTCAAACGAACGAGAGGGACTTTTGTTTACTCTGTCATGAACAAAAGGATTCTCACATCCTGTAAACCATGAGCACTGAGGTCAGTATTGTTTGAGGGTTTGTATTTGGTTGTTTTCCTTTTATTGGACAGTTAAACAATGTTTGGTGTCTCTGAATCTTTTAATTTTTAGTATGAGCTGGGTTTAGTTTTGTCTTTAAAAGAGAGAGCGAGAAAGAGAGAGAGAGAATTCAGGACAATTTTGAGTTGGCTAGTAAAGAAGGGAAGCTTCCAGAATGAGTGTAGTGTAGGTTCTCCTGGGTGTTTGGCAGGGTCAGGGCTCAGTCTGCTGTTCCAAACATCCCTTGCAGTTTTGCTGTTGTTTGAGGTAGATCTTTGTAGTTGTTGCGTTGTTAGGTTTTTGTTTTGTTAGTGGAATCAATGTTTACATCCTCTGAACTCTGTACCCTGAAACCATGAGATCTTCTAGAAACTGAGATCATTGGTTTGTTTTCTTTCTTCCCCTTGCGTCTTCTTCATAGTCACAGAATATGGGAAGGTGCTGGGTTTGTGTCCCCTTCTCCCCTCCCCCAAAGCTGCCACCTTCTCCCTCAGCCTGGAGCCCCAAGAGCGTTGTGGGTGCAGCTCCAGCCTCACTGCTCTGCCGTGTTAAGGAGGCTGTGTCAAAACTGCCCTCCTGCAACCTTGTACCCCACAACACCCCACAAACCTTCATATGCTGTGTTCATCCTACGTGGCCCACATGTATTGAGCTGGTCTTCTGCATTTAAGTATTGTCCCCTCTTTTGTTCCCCACTGTATGTGGGGGAGGGTCCATAAACCTGTGTGCCTTTGCTTTCCACCCTTGCTAGTCACTGATAGATGCAACAAACTCAGATTTATATTTGTTGTAAAGTTGTAAAAATATTGTGATGTCACCAATTTTCCCTCCATCACCAACCACATCCCCTAACATCTGATTCATGACTTATTGTATGTTGTAAACAAGGAAAAAAGAAAAAAAAAGGTAAAGGGGGGAAAAAAAGGCAAGGAAAAGGCTCTTTATTACTTAAAAGTAATAAAACCAGACTGTTCTACATTCTCTTCTGTGTCCTGAATGCTTTCATTTATCTCGTTTTCCTTTTTTCAGTCCCATGTCCTGTTGTCCCATTCTACTCTTTGCTCCATCGCTAACTGGCACGAGTTAGACTCATCTGTTTACAGCTCCCCTCCTGTTCCCTGACACACACCTTACCCCTCACAAACTCTGTGTTTCCTCTGCCTGCACAAAATCTGGAGAAAAGTTCAGCGGCAGCCATCGGTAATTAAGAGGCAGAGTGTGCCTTGCCTCCCTCTATTCATTTTATGCATTTTCTTTCTATGGGCTTGCTCATCGTCAAACATTTATGGTAGGCTTGATCATTTAAGAGATCGAGGCTAGGATTTTAGTACGTAGGGTCCACTAAAAATAGATCCTTGAACAGATGTGACTTCATTCTCTTTACATATTAATAAGATGGAGGGTGCCTGGTTTTATTCCTTGTTAGCATTTATCTCATGTAACCCAGAAGGCATGGTTGAATGCCTATCTGGATAGAGCCCTTCGTTTTCGTTGGTTTTTTTTTTTTTTTTTTTTTTTTGCCAGATAATATCACGAGAGGCCTAGAGTAGGTTTGACCCTCGGGGACAGTTTTTAGAGCAGTCATTAAAAAAGTGTTTGGCTACCATATTTATTTTTGACCTCTTGAACTATTTTTCTCTGAACTGTTTTTCCTTTCTTTGGCTTTTAGGTAAGTTTAAGTGTACCCTTTTAACAAGTCATTTCTCATTGCATTTCTTTAACACCATGGGGTTAGGCCCAAAGTTGCTGAGGATCCAGCACCCACCTCTGGGAGCAGAGAAAGATGGTCGTGGCACCTGGATTGGGAGAAAGGAATACTGCGGAGGAGGTGCCCTGAAGTTGGGGCAGGAGGCGACAAGAGTAGAGAGATGACTTGTGCAAAGGTGCCAGAGCTGACACGTTTGAAAGACCAAGGGGTGAGGGTCCGTAAGTGGGGTCCCTGAGAGCCTGGCAGGGACAAGGCTGGAGCTAGCCCAGAAAGATTGTTAAGAAAGGTTCTAGTCAAGCTGATGGGCAGCTCAACCTCTATTAAGGGTATGTAGGCCACGGCTGGGGTGGGGGTGGAGGCTGATATCTCCCTGGAAGTCACATAGACGTGGACAGTAAGCTGGTCCAGAGATAGACTGAGGGCCACCAGGCAATGGGCCAATTAGCACGTCACTTTGGGAGGAGCAACACAAAGACCTGCTCTCTCCCATCTCAAGGTATTTAGGAAACAACCCCATCAGCTAAGGGTGTATTGGGGGAGGAGGTCACTCCTTTTGGCAGAGAGACTCCTTCTCATGTGACAGAGAACTTGACTGCTGCTTAAGAGCTAAGAGAGGATAAGTCTCACAGCTGGTCCAAATGCCTCCCAGTTAGGGAAGTCTGTATAAAGTGGGGGTGAGGGGGTAGGGGGGAGATCTTGAGGTCCTCTGGGTAAAAGGGTTCGTGACCATCATCCCGGATCTGCCAGCAGAACAGTTCCTCCTGGGATAAATCTGTCTTCTTTGGCCTGTTCCTCTCACCCTTCCAGGGGTGGGGGCACCCTGACAGAGCCCACTTCTCTCCACTTCCTGCCCAGCCTTTCCCTCTCCCTCCCCCACCCATTCTCCCTGGGGAGCCTTCCTGTGTCTTGCCCTTCTCCTAGAGGGCACCCCAAGTTCCTTCCTCGAGCTGGGCCTGAGCTCAGCTCCCTCCAATTTGAAGCAGGCGCAACTGCTGGAGTGCAACCTGACACGTGTTCTGGTCTGGGAGATTTTGCTGTTGTCAGCTTTGTTCTGGCCTGGGGAGAGGTGACAAGCCAAACAGGTGCAGCCTGAATTTTCACAGCAGCCAGCCTGAAGAATGTGGATGCGCAGACAGTCCAGCATTTTCTTTTGCACTGTATGTGTCTGCCTGCTTGTTCCAGGGCTCAGAGCCTTCCTGGGTTGTTGGTTATTGCTGTTCTGGGGCGGCTGGTCTCAGGAATGACTGGGCAGACTGGAGTCTGATGGGGCCACAGCTGAAGGCTTCCACTCACCTACTTTCCTTAAGTGCTTCGTCAAGCACAAATGGTTCTCCTCCATCAGCCCCGTGAGTTGGCTGCCTGAGCAAAAGCTCGTTCCAAAATAAAAAGAAGTCATTCAGCAAGTGAAATTAGAGCATCAGAAAGGCACCTACCCTTTCAAACACTGGCACATTCTGCTCGAGGGAAAGGGGTGAGGAGAGTGAAAAAGAACCCTCTGGTAACAGAACAATGAGCTTTGGAGTACAAGCCTCCCCCTGGCTGAGCGCTGTGGCAGCTGGGTGCTCAGAGTCGGTAACCCTTCTCTGGGGCTTCTCTAACCAGGTGGCGACAGACTCCGGAAGGGAGCTGGGAAAGCAGGGCTCCAGTTTATTGATCGGGATGCCAGACAGATGGGGAGCTCCCCTAGTCCATTTAGAGTATTGTGTGTCCTGAGTTCTACCCCCTCGGGATGCCTGGAGCCGGGAAAGTGACCTCCAAGAGGCTTAGGGCTGAAGTGATGTGCATTAAACGTGGCCGCACCAAACAGTGCGCAGATGTCTTTCTCGCAAATGGAGATGAAATATGAGCAAATCAAGAGTGGCAGCTGAGTAATGAGGGGTTCCCCATCCCCCCTGCAAGCACATCCCTGCCCCCCACTGCAGGCTCACACAAAGGCTTCTGTCGGGCTGCTCCCTCCCATGACCAGCTCAGGGCAGATCCATGTTTGTGGAAGGTGGGCCCTTTGGGAAGGTCTTTCCTCCCCTCTTCCTGGGGAAAATGG